GCCGTGATCGGCCATCCAGAAGCCGGCAACTGATCTGCCTCGCCCGGGAAGAGCACAATGATGGTGCCAACTTGGGCCAGTGAAGCAACGTCCTCCACAATTAGACTGAAGAACAAAAGGATAGCAACTTGTCTGTTCCCCTTCCCCCAATTCCCCAGCGCTGTTCCCATCCCCCAATTCCCCAGTAAAATCTTTAAAAATAAATAAATAAATAAGGAAAAAAGAATAAACCCCCAGAAATGGTAAGGAAGGAAATCATAAAAGAAATGAATGAAATATCAGAAGTATGGCTTCATGGAAAAAAACTAACAAAGTGACAAAGTTCAAGAAAAGGATTTTAAATACAAGTAAACAGTATTAGAAATGAAAAGGAGATCATAATTACAAATAAAATAGAAAAACTTTACACATAAATAAATAAAATACAAGAAATGTCAAATAACTTGTTCAAGGTTACAGAGGTATAGAGTATAATTTATAAAATGTAGTTCAATGTTACAGTAATCAAGATGGTATTTATACAAACCCTGACAGGTAAATCAACAGAACAAAATAGAAAATGTAGCTAGAATAAAATTTTATATGATAATGGTGGCATTTTTGCCTCAGTGAAGAATGAACGGATTATTCAAAAAAAATTGCTGCCACAACTAATTAACCATTTGGAATCAAAATAAAATTAAATCTCTCTTACTCCAAAATAAATTCCAAATAAATTATAGATTTGAATATAACACTTAAAATAAAAGATGTACCTAAAAGTGATGTGAATGTTTATATAATCTTAAAGTGGGAAAATTACTTCTAAGAAAGATATCATATACAGGCAAAATACAGGAAAAGATGAATAAAGTTGAATACGTATACACTTAAACCTTCCATAGCAAACTATAAACTGGGGAAAATCTATAACGTACATGAAAAGAAAAATAGTAGTCGTGACAAATTATGATTTTTTTCTAAATTTATAAGGTGAAAATAAATACCCAAAGAGAAAACAAAATGAGCAAAAGACATGACTAAGTAATTCACTAAACACACACACACACACACGCACACACATATACACACACACATAAAAATAGCCAATGTACATTTGCAAAAAAGTTCATCCTTTCTAATAATCAAAGAGCAAAATTTAAAATGAGATACATTATTTGCTATCAGTTTGCAAATACCCAAGGTTGGCCAGCTTGGAGGAATGGCATTCTTGTACATTGCTGGTGGAAATGTCTCCATCTTACTGAAGAGCAATTTGGCTGTATGTGTCCTCTGACGCCTATGAGAAGTACACTTTTGATCCAATGGGTCTACTTCTAGAAGCATACCCATATAAAAGA